AACTTTTATAATATATATGCAAACATCAATTATAAGCAACTGTAACTTGTAAACATTGTTAGTGGGAATAGAAAGGATTCACTCTGGAAAATAACTTGACATTAACTGCTAAAAACTCATATGGCGTGACCAGCAATTCTACCCCTAAGATATTCCCAACAGAAATGCATACATAGATCACCAATATACATGCTCTAGAATGTTCATAGCAGTGTTAGTACATGCATATAATAATACACTTGGGGTTTGTATGATACATAGTTTTTCCTCCTCTTACTTTTAACTTACCTATATCACTAAATTTATAGTGAAGTTTATTTTTTGTAGCTATGATATAGGTGGGTCTTTTTAAAAAAAAAATAAAAAACCCACTTTGAAGTTTGCTGCATTTAATTGATGTCTTTAAGCCATTCAAATGTAAATGATATTTTGGGGTTTAGGGATACCATTTTATTTTTTGTTTGTTCTATATTTCATTCCTTGTTTCTTCTTTCTTGCATTTTTGAGAATATTTGTATTATTCCATTTTTATTTATCTACTGATATTTTGGTTATGTCTCTTTGCTTTGTTTAGAAGATGCTTTGGTGGTTCAATATACATAGTCAACTTTTCAGTCTACTCAGAATTAATATTTTGCCTCTTCAAATGGAATGTAGAAACCTTACCACCATATAGGTTCCTTTACCCTCTTGTCATTCAGTGTAGTTGTAATATGTGTTAGGTAAACATAAACTGAAAAAAAAGGAGTTAAAATTTTATACGTGGTAAAAATCTAGTCATCTCATTCCTAACAAGCCTAACAGGTACCATTCTGTGGCCCGGAGGCTGGGGACCCCTGTGTTAGACCTTCCTACCTTTCCATATCTAACTCTATTCTCTGAAAATTAGAAACCTGGTTCCCATTATCCTTAATATACTTACTTGCTTGGTCCATCTCTCTGTGTATAATCATTCTCCCACCTCTGCTGCCATCTCTTCCTTCCTGTGAGCTCTTATAACCTCACCCTCTTGGGCTATAACAATTCAAATCAGAATGCCCCTTCCCAAGTGGATTCCCTCCTCACCCTGCTTGCTGGGCCACCACGATGTGACTTACTCTTCTTGTGGCTCAGACTCTGACACCCTGCTCTGGGCCACTGTGCCATCACCCTCTCCCCAGCTCAGACACTTAGCTTAGTTCTGCAGATCGTTCAGGAAGGAGCAAGGAAGAGCTGCTTTCTCTCCTGCAAGGGTCATGTCCTCTGTAGTTTCTGCTTGCTTTTGTTTACTTTCCAGTGCCTTCAAAGGACTCTTGTGGTTTTTTTGATATTTTGTTCAGAGTCTGTAACTGTTATCAGCAAGAGAATCAGGTGCGTGTTTGTTACCATGCCTGGCCTCTTGTGGTGTTTTGTGATTGTGTTCTGTTTTTAGATAGTTAATTCCTCAGTCTATGTGAAGTGTATTTTTATATAAGATATAGGATAAAAATTACCCCACCCACCGCCCAATTGCCCCAGCCTTTATTCGCTAAGGCAGTGAATAATACTGTGCTATTTTACATAAGCTTTGAGCACCCACAGATTTGGGTACCTGCAGGAGGTTCTGGAATTCATCATCTATGGATACAGAGGGATAAGTGTACTTCAACCAAAACAGCAGTGTCCTCTTAAGCCAGATATTAAAGAGACTTGCAAAATTGTAAAGCATACTGATTGTCTTACAGATTTTTTTTTTTGTTTCAGGAAATAAAATTATTTCTTTTAAAAATGTTCGTTTTTTTTTTTTTAAGATGGAATAATCTTTTAAAGAAACAATTAGCCTGGTGTGGTGGCTCTCACTTGTGGTCCCAGCTGCTTAGGAGGCTGTGGCGGGAGGATTGCCTGGGACCAGGGGGCTGAGGCTGCAGGGAGCCAAGTACTCTAGCCTGGATGACAGAGTGAAATCCAGGCTAAAGAAAAAGAAAGAAAGAAAATATCTGATCCTTCCAGGTTCCACCTAATGTCACTTTATCTCTGAAAAGAAAATCTTTCTGGATTCTCTACCTGTCCTCTGATACCTCTCAACACTTTGTTTATATTCTGTTCAGGGTATCAAATCATCTTAATTATTTGCCTTTAGATCTATGGTTTCTCTGAGTTGCAAATTACATTAAGGAAAGAAATTGTGTTTTATTATTCTTTGTTGTGTCTTACATCCCATAACTAATTAAGAAATATTTGTTTAATGAATTGATTTGTTTAATGAATTGATTTTTTTAGTGATTTTTTTTCCCTTCTAGATTGTAAGTCTTAATTGAAGGTAATGGTTGTTATATCTACCTTTGATTTTCCCAGAACCTGATAGGCGAGAAAACTTTATTCATAGGATATGCGTAATTAGAGTTCAGACATGGTGGCTCACGCCTATAATCCCAGCACTTTGGGAGACCGAAGCAGGAGGATTGCTTGAGCCCAGGAGTTTCAGAACAGCCTGGGCAACATAGTGAGACCTTGTCTCCAAAAAAGAAAAAAAAATTAGCCAGGTGTGGTGGCTGTGCCTATAGTCCCAGGAGACTGAGGCAGAAGGATCACCTGAGTCTGGGAGGTCAAGGCTGCAGTGAACTGTGATCATCCACTCCAACCTGGATGACAGAATGAGATTCCAAATAAAACAAAAACAAAAACAAACAAAACAAAACAAACTTAGTTAGTACTTCATGGTGCTGTACAGACAGGTAGAACCTTTGGTTTAAATCTCAGCTCTGTGACATACCTACTGTATAAACTTAAATAAATTACTGAACCTCACAGCCCTTAGTTTCTTTGGTAGAGGACTAGAGATTGAAAATTATACTCCAAATGAAGAATAAATGAATTAATACACGTAAAACACTGTCAGTGTTAGTATCATCACCATCATTTAAACAACAAAGGAATGGGAAAATACTTTGTGAATTATTTTTCCACCTTAAGCCCTATTTTTTTTTTTTTTGAGTCAGAGTCTCACTCTGTCGTTCAGACTGGAGTGCAGTGGCACACTCCCGGCCACCACAGCCTCAACCTCTGGGCCCCAGCGATCCTTCTGCCTCAGCCTTCCAAGTAGCCGGAACTACAGGCGTGTGCTACCACGTCCGGCTAATTTTTTTATTTTATTGTAGGGACAAGGTCTCGCCAATTGCCCAGGCTGCTCTCGAACCCGAGGGCTCAGGCAATCCACTTGTCTCAGCCTCCCAAAGTGCTGAGATTACAGGCTGAGTCACCGAGCCCAACCAGAGCCCTATTTTATATCCAGTTACAGATCATATTTTCTTTCAATGTCTTGAGTAGGTTTTGAGTTTGAATACAAATAAATTAATAGAAATTATTTAAACACATTCCCACAGTTAGGACAGTGAAGGCCAGGGCACAGTGGCTCACGCCTGTAATCCTGAGAGAGGAGCTAGAAGCTGATTAGGCAGAGAGGGAGGGTCTCGAGGAGACTTAACACCTGCAGGAATGTCCCCCTGCACCACTCCCATTATATAATTGTTGGCTGGAAGTGTGGTTAGTGGGGTTAAGGACATTCTCTCAACCCAGGAGGTAATGCTAAAAGGGACTTTTTGCTGCTTAAATGCAGGTGCAGTAGCGTGACTAAATGTCCTAACTTGACCTTGACTTATTATAATATCATTAACATAGCATTTGCATAGAGATTTACCACCACCACCACCCCACCCCGTGGGTTTTTCTGTGGTACTTATGGGTAATATTCAAAATGGAGTAGCTTTGGTCAGGGACTCGCATGTGCAACAAGAATTGGATCTCAGGAAGTAAGGGGAGGATGAGATGTAAATGAGAGAAACACCCCCAGAAAAGATAAAAACCACAAAAAAAAAACCCCTCCTAGCACCGAGTAACCCATTTCAGGTCCCCTCTCTTCTCTGGAGAGACCTTTGCTGCTTAATAAACTCCCTCTTTCACTCATCCTTTTATTCCTTAATCTCGAATCAAGAATCCCAGGTTGCTGGTTTAAACTGACAGTGGAGTCCAAAACTCTTGCAACAATCCCAGCATTGTGGGAGGCAGAGGCAAGTGGATTGCCTGAGTCTAGGAATTCAAGACCAGCCCGGGCAACTTGGCGAGTCCTCGTCTCTACAATAGATCCAAAAATTAGCCGGGCGTCATGGCACATGCCTGTGGTTCCAGCTGCTTGGAAGGCTGAGGTGGGAGGATGGCCTGAACCCAGCGGGTCGAGGCTGTGGTGGCCATGAGCATGCTACTGCGCTCCAACCTGGGCAACAGAGTGAGACACCTGTCTCAAAACAAGCAAACCAAAAAATAAGTTTAGAAGACAGATCCTCAAGTTCACTTTAAGCATCGTGATTTGTGATCATGTGAGCCCCAATTTTTAAAGGGCAAAAGTAATTAAGAGCCAAGTAGAGTCTAATCCATGAGTGTATCAGTTCACAAATCAGCATCACCCTTTGTCTCTGCGTCAGTAGTAACATTGTTTGCTATTTCCTGGGAGTTTTTAGTTGGGAAGCTAGCTCTTGAAGAGCTAGATTAGAATCCACAATCTAGTTTACAATAAAAAAATGATCCTCAGTCGGGCTCGGGGACTCAGCCTGTAATCCCGCGCTTTGAGAGGCCGAGGTGAGTGGATTGCCTGAGCCTGCGGGTTCGAGACCTGCCTGGGCAACTTGGTGAACCCTCATCTCTACAATAAATCAAAAAATTAGCCGGGCATGGTAGTGCGCGCCTGTAGTTCCAGCTACTTGGAAGGCTGAGGCGGAAGTATCACCGGAGCCCAGCAGGTCAAGGCTGCGATGGCCAGGAGTGGCCACTGCACCCCAGTCTGGACGACAGAGTGAGACTCCGACTCAAAAAAAAAAAAAAAAAAGATCCTCAGCTGTGATCATAGGTGACTGACTTCCAGGTTCTCATCCTTTCTGCTGCGTTGTTGAGAAGTTTGATCCACAAGCCAGACCACACTTTGTAATCTTAAACTACACAGTGATTATTATGTGATCCTTACAAGTTACCGTTTTGTTTGTTTTCTCTAGATTGAAACCAAGATTTCGATTTCAGCCCTGAGCGCTGTTGCAAGTCCAAGAATTGTAGACCTTGCCCACCCAAGGATCAAGTTAGAAGGGCTGTGCTATGAAAGACAGAGAAATGACTTGCCCATTCGTCCGGTAAGCCATCTCTGCCTTGGCATCCTTGAGCTCACTTTCCGGGTGCCCCTGGAGTGCTGTTTCTCTTCTCCAGGGCTCAGCCCAAAGTCACTGGAAAAGAGAGTCTTGAAAGAGTGGTCTAGCCGGGCTCGGTGGCTCAGCCTGTAATCCCGCACCTTGGGAGGCCGAGGTGAGTGAATTGCCCACGCCCGTGGGTTCAAGACCCACCTGGGCAACTTGGCAAGACCTCATCTCTACAATAAATCAAAAATTAGCCGGGCGTGTAGCGGCTGAGGCAGAAGGTTCGCCGGAGCCCAGCAGGTTGAGGCTGCGGTGGCCAGGAGAGGACACTGCACTCCAGTCTGGGTGACAGAGTGAGACTCCAACTCAAAAAAAAAAAAGAAAGAAAGAAAGAGTGGTCTGTGGCGGGAGGAAGACCTAGTTACATGATATAGAGAGAGGCAGAGGAGTGGAGGGCAAGAGCATGAACTTTAGAGTCTGTGAGAACTGGGTTCAAATCTCAGCCTTGGCTGGGTGCAGTGGCTCACACCTGAATTTCCAGCACTTTGGGAGGCTGAGACAGGAGGATCGCTTGAGCCTGGGAGTTTGAGTCCAGCCTGGACAACATGGCGAGACCTCGTTTCTACAACAAAATTTTAAAAATTCGCTGAGAGTGGTGGTGCATGCCTGTAGCCTCCTCAGAGGCTGAGGTGGAAGGATAGCCTGAGCCAAGGAGGTTGAGGCTGTGGTGAGCTGTAATCAAATCACTGCACTCCAGCCGACTGACAGAGCGAGACCTAGACTCAAAAAAAAGAAAAGAAAGAAAGAAAGGAAGAGCCAGCCACGTAGTGGCTCACGCCTGTAATCCCAGTACTTTGGGAGGCGAAGGCAAGAGGATTGCCTGAGCCCACGGGTTTGAGACCAGCCTGGGCAACTTGGCGAGACCTCGTCTCTACAATAAACCAAAAAATTGGGTGGGCATGGTGGCCTGCACCTGTGGTTCCAGCTACTTGGAAGACTGAGGTGGAAGGATCGCCTGAGCCCAGCTGCAGTAACCATGAGCTTGCCACTGCACTCCAGCCTGGGCGACAGAGTGAGACTCTGACTCGAGAAAAAAAAGCAGATAGATGAAAGTACTTATCTCACGGGGTTGTTATGACGAGTAAGTGGGAATTATATAAGGTAAGTCACTAGGAACAGTCTGACTCGTGGAACAGAACATTCAATGTTCATCTGCTCCCCAGGAACTGTTTCGTGAAGGCTGGATTACATGGGAGACCACTTAGGAGTCTGCTGTACGGTCCAGGACAGACATGGTCATGGCTCAAGGAGGGCTACGGCTGTAGAGACTGGGAGATGGATGTGGTGGAATTTGGGATACATTTTCTGTCTCTCTGTTTCCACCGTAGATAGCCCCGGCTGCACTGCAAGCCAACGCTAGCCCCCGCACCATAGCACTAGCGAAGCCCAAGTCTCTTCATCAGGATTACCTACCCGCCCGTGATGCCCACTGGGCAGTGTCTTCTGCTGCTATCCATTCCAAAGTATCGCCCAGAATTCAGGAACTAGCTAATCCAAATAAAAGGTATGCCAATTTAAGGCTAGAGTGGATCATTGATGGGCCGGGGATCTGGGCAGAAAGGGAAAGTTGACCCATTAAAAGAAAAGAGTTGTAGAAATACCAAAAAAGTTCAAAAGCATCTTACTTCACTAGTTACCTTTATTATGACAAGTCTGTGGTCTTCCTACCATAAATGTAAGCCTACTATTAAAAGGTTGGTGAGGTCGAGCATGGTGGCTCACGCCTGTAATCCCAGCCATTTGGGAGACCATAGCGGAAGGATCATTTGAGACCAGTTCAAGACCAGCCTGGGTAACATAGCAAGACCCTATCTCTACAAAATAAAAAAATTAGCCTGGAGTGGTGGCATGTGTCTGTAGTCCCAGCTACTCGGGAGGCTGAGGTGGAAGGATTGCTTGAGCTCAGGAGATCAAGGCTGCAGTGAGCTGTGACTTTGTCACTGCACTTCAGCCTGGGTGACAGAATGAGACCTCAACTTAAAAAAAGCCAAAAAAGGTTAATGGACTAGATAGTGAAACTTGAATCTAGTAGACAGTTTTTAAAGTATGTATATGGAGTTATTTGACATGTAGTAGGAAGGGAAACAAGTTGTGGAATGAAGCACATAATATGTTGCAATTTGTGTAAGAAGAGAATTCATATGTGCCATGGATTCGCACATGTCTGTAATATCTCATATACAGGGAACGAGTAACAATGGCTGCCTTTGTGGGCCTAGGGACCTGGGATAGGAGGAAGTCTTATCTTTCATTAAACAGGCTTTTGTATTCTTTTGATGCTTTGTGTCATGTACATGTATGACCTATTTCAAATCAATAAGAAAATACAGTTAACTAACAAAGAAGAAATTGGTTCTCGCTTCTGTATGGGTTTATTTGTTGTTGTTTGTCTGTCTTTGGAGGACCTCTTAGCTTGCCCAAACCTCAATTCATTTTGTTACCTTCAAGGGATAACATATGATCCTCTTTTTAAGCATCAGCAGAAAAACTTAGGAGAGTTAGAAAAAGTTGTGGGGAGGCTGGGTGCAGTGGCTCATGACTGTAATCCCAGCACTTTGGGAGGCTGAGGTGAGAGAATCACTTGAGCCCAGGATTAGAGATCAGCCTGGGTAACATAGTGAGAACTTGTCTCTACCAAAAAAAAGAAAAAAAAAACCAACTGGCCAGGCGCAGTGGCTCATGCCTGTAATCTCAGCACTTTAGGAGGCAGAGGCGAGAGGACTACCTGAGCCCATGGGTTTGAGACCAGCCTGGGCAACTTGGCAAGACCTTGTCTCTACAATAAATCAAAAAATTAGCCAGGCATGATGGTGTGTGCCTTTAGTTCCAGCTATTTGGAAGGCTGAGGTGGAAGGATCGCCTGAGCCAAGCGGGTCGAGGCTGCAGTGGCCATAGCATGACACTGCACTCCAGCCTGGGCAACAGAGTGAGATTCCAACTCAAAAAATAGAAAAGTTGTGGAAGTCTTGAGCTCAGGGAAAAGGACATTTGTCTGTCAATTCTTCCATAATAACATGTTTAAAATGTTATATGTTTATCCTTTAAAAATAAAGTCCATCACATGACATGAAGCTCATTTTCCACTCATTGAAGGGAAGAGCATGGCCAAAGGCTTTATCAAGGTTTTATCCTGATGGCCAAGTTATCCCTTGGAGAAAAAGTACTGAGAACGGTCAACTTCAACAACTTGATTTTTTTAAGTCCACCTGGAGAACCCCCTGGCTTGTCCTAACATTGCCAAGTTATAGTAAATGAGCCATGGGGGAGACAAACTTAGGTCTGTCTGATTCCAAAACTCAAGTTTAAAGCTGAGAAACCTCCAGAATTCACTTTCCGTGGGGAGAGCAAAGGCCTCGGAGCCGACAGACATACACATCTGGATCTGCCTGGGGATCACTGGCATAATCTGAGCCTTCATTTCACATCTGTACAGTGGAGGCCACGAAAGTCAAAAGGGGGTAAAGTCATAGTGCTGGACACAGAGCGTGTACTTGAGAAACATCGGTTCCTTATTCTGCTGGTCTTATTTCAGGTCGATTTCTTTTTCCCCGTTTCAGGGCTTCCATGCATATCGTCTACTATGATCCAGCTGTCTTTAAAGTGAAGGCGGCTGCTTTGAAAGCACGGTGTTCTCAGAGGATCCAGGAGCTGGCAGAACCTGTCACACGTTAAATGTGGAAAGTCACATTGCTCGAACCTTGGTTATGTATCTAGAACACGTGTTGGAAGTCTTGGCTTCCTCCTCCGGTACCGTTAGCTACTTCTCCCCTGTCCCCCGCAAGAAATGAGACCTCCAGGGAGCACCACGGTGATCATCAAATAGCAGTTGTCAACGTATCTTCACCAGGTTTGAGAACTCCAGCACGTAATAAAAGGGAACGTGAGAGCGGCCTTGGCATCCTTACTGTTTGCTCACAAGCGTCTAGGCTTACCCGAAGAAACACACTTCCTAGCGTGTGTGGGTTTTGCATGCCTTTTCCTGGTGAGTTTCTTGTTCCCCAAGAGCTGGTCCTACCTCAGTCCCCTCTCTCGTCAGTCCTGGGAATCGAGATCGTTCTTTCTGTTACTTTCAGCCTCTGCTCATGACTTAGAACAACACACTGAAACGATGAAACCTTTTTGGAAAAATCAAAATGCTTTTAAAATTTTTATTTATTTTATGTATTTTGAGAAAGGGTCTCACTCTGTCACCCCGGCTGCAGTGCAGGGGCATGATCCTGGCTCACCGCAGCCTTGATCTCCTAGGCTTACGCCCCTCCACACCCAGTAGTTGGGACTACAGGTGAATGTTACCATGCTTGGCTAACTTTTTTATTCTTTTGTTGAGATGAGGTCTCACTATATTGCCCAGGCTGGTCTCGTACTCCTGGCCTCAAGCAATTCTCCTCAACCTTCCAAAGTGCAGAGATTACAGGTGTGAGCTATCATACCTGACCTATTTTTATTTAATTTAATTTAATTTAATTTTATTTTTATTTTTTGGAATTGACATCTCATTCTGTCACCCAGGCTGGAGTACAGTAGCATGCTCATGGTCACCGCAGCCTTGACCTACTGGGATCCGGTGATCCTTCTGCCTCAACCTTCCAAGTAACTGGAATTACAGGCATAAACCACCATACCTGGCTAATTTTTTTAATATATTGTGGAGATGAGTTCTCACCAATTTACCCAGGTTGGTCTCAAACCCATGAGCTCAGACAATCTTCTCACCTCAGTCTCCCAAAGTGCTGGGATTATAGGTGTGAGCCACTGCACCCAGCCTTTTATTTTATTTTTTTAGAACCAGGGTCTCCTTCTGTTGCCCAGGCTGGAGTGCAGTGGTGCAATTATGGCTCACTACAGCCCTGAATTCCTGGACTCAAGGGATCCTCCCAACTCAGCCTCCTGAATAGCTGGGACCACACCTGGCTAATTCATGTGTGCATGCACGTGTGTGTGTGTGTGTGTGTGTGTGTATGTGTGTGTGTAGAAACAGGGTCTTGCTGTGTTGTTCACACTGATCTCAAACACCTGACTTCAAACAATCCTCCCTTCTCAGTCTCTCAAAGCACTGAGATGATAGGCTTGAGCCCCTGTACCCAGCCAAATGCTTTTTATAATCTGTAACTGAAATTTAGGAAACAGGTTACTATAAATGGTGACATCTCCACCGATCTCTGTTTCTGCACTCATGCTTGACTTTGCTTACCAGCGAATGACAGAAAAAGCAAGAATTTGGTAAGCATTATAATTCTCTGCCAAATTGCATGAGTCTTTATTTTATTCTCTCTATGGATCAGTACTTTACCAATTAAACTAACTTTTATGGTGCATATCTATATTTGCAAGAAAATGAAATTATTTGAAAGCCAGTGTTAGAGATGAATGATTTCTATCTTTAAGGTCTTTTTGTCACTGAAAGGCAACACCACATGGCAATCGAACTTGAGTTTTGTAATCAAACAGACCTGGGTTTGTGTTCCCCATCGACCATGGAGCATGGATGTGCTCTTTAACCAATTTCCTAATCCCTGGGCTCTGTTTCTTTGAGTATAAAGTAGGTTCCTGCTGTATTGTTGTAAAGATAAGATAAGATGATGTATATAATAAAGTATGATTTTGAGCCAGGCTTGGTGGCTCAGCCTGTAATCCCGCACTTTGGGAGGCCGAGGTGAGTGGATTGCCTAAGCCTGCAGGTTTGAGACCCGCCTGGGCAACTTGGCGAGACCTCATCTCTACAACAAATCAAAAAAATTAGCCGGGCGTGGTAGCACGCACCTGTAGTTCCGGCTACTTGGAAGGCTGAGGCGGAAGGATCGCCGGAGCCCAGCAGGTGGAGGCTGCTGCACTCCAGTCTGGGTGACTGAGTGAGACTCCAATTCATTAAATAAATAAAATAAAGTATGATTTTGAAACAAATATTTTTGTTTAAAAATTTAACTGTGTTTGCCTTCTAATAGGAGAGTAACATATTTCATATCACTGGGGGGAAATATGGCTTGATTCTCACGATAAATGAATGTCTGTTGAACGTCTTTGCTTTGCCAGGCACTGGAGATACCACCCAGAGCCAAATAGATGTGAGCTCTGTTCTCATGGGCTATCTAGCCTACTGGGAGGGATGGTTTGAATTCAAACATTTACCAATAAAAATAAAATAACAACCATAGCAAGTGCTATGAAACTGTGTTATGTGACCGGTTGTGGTGGTTCACACCTATAATCCCAGCATTTGGGAGGCTGAGGAGAGAGGATTACTTGAGCCCAGGAGTTTGAAACCTACCTAGGCAACATAGAGAGACTTTTTCTACCAAAATTTTGAAAAATGAGCTGGGTTTGGTGGTGCTCACCTGCAGTCCCAGCTTCTCAGGAGGTTGAGGTGGAAGGATTGCCTGAGCCTGGGATGTCGAGGCTGTGGTGAGCCATGATCAAAGCCGCTGCACTCCAACCTGGGTGATAGGAGGGAGACTCTGACTCAAAAAAAAAAAAAAGGGAAAGGAATAGTGCTATGAAATTACAGAATAAGCTGGGTGCAGTGGCTCATGCCTGTAATCCCAGCAGTTTTGGAGGCTGAGGTGAGAGGATTGCCTGAATCCACGGGTTTCAGATCAGCCTGGGCAGCATGGTGAGACCTTATCTCTACAATAAATCAAAAATTAGCTGGGCGTAGTGGCACACGCCTATAGTTCCAGCTACTTGGAAGGCTGAGGTGGAGGGATCGCCTGAGCCCAGCAGGTCGAGGCTGCAGTGGCCATAAGTGTGCCACTGCACTCCAACCTGGGGGCAGAGTGAGATTCGAACTGAAAATAAATAAATAAATGAATAAATAAATAAAAGTAACAAGATGGAAAACGACCTTTTGGAAAGGGGAGGGAGGGCTTCTTTAAAAAGATCATTTGGGCTGGAATCTGGAAATGGAGTAGAACTAACTAATTAAACGGGGCACAGAAAGTTATGCCAGGTAGTGGGAACATACATTTAGTGAATGTTTTTGGATTTTTGGACCACCCATGCCTCATCCTTCTGGTAAGAGTTTCCAACTTTCCTTTGGGGAGCTTCTTTTTCCTCATTGTGCACCTATCCAGTTGTCCTCTAGGACTTCGGATCTTAAGCAGAGTGATGCCAAAGGTGAGAGAGGGTGACTGGAGCTACTATTATCATTGGAGCAGATAATATTGGTTGGAGCTGGCATTTCCCAGGATGATTCCCTGATGAGATATCTTCTTGCTCCTACTCCCTGCATCGCTGGAGCTGCCCTGACTCCTTCCCTGGGGTCTCAGCTGGTCCTTTGACTCAGGAACTGCCCAGAGCCTTCCTGTAAGTCCTGGCAGGTGGAAGAATGGAACACGGACTGAAAGAATACCATTGAGGCTCAAACAGAACTAAAAAAAGAGGATTGTGCGAGGCAAGAGAAGGCTGAAGGATGGGAGCCAGGACATGCTGGATACTAGAGGTCAAATTAAAGATTTGAGTCTTTAGCCGGGCATGGTGGTTCATACCTGTAATCCCAGCACTTTGGGAGTTTAGGCAAGAGAATTGCCTGAGCCCACAGGTTTGAGACCAGCCTGGACAGCTCGGCAAGACCTTGTCTCTACAATAAGTCAAAAAATTAGCCAGATGTGGTGGTGCACGCCTATGGTTCCAGCTAACTGGAAGGCTGAAGCGGAAGGATTGCCTGAACCCAGCAGGTGGAGGCTGCGGTGGCCGTGAGCATGCCACTGCACTCCAGGCTGGCTGACAGAGTGAGACTCCAACTCAAAAAGAAAAATAAAAGAAAATAAAATATTTGAGTCTTCATCCTAAAGCCAATGGGAAGCTATAGAAGTAACTTAAGCATAGGCATGATGTAATCAGGGTTGTTTTTTGAAAAAAAATTAGTCAAATAAATTGGAGAGGAGACAATGTAGATAGGTAGGCCAAATTAGGAGGTTATTTAGTAGATCTTATGAAAGGTGAAAATAACTCGGTGGTACCAGCTAATAAGTGACAGGCTGGAGAGAGATTTGATAAGGTGGATGTATAGGATTTGATAGTAGATTGGATATGGAAACTGGAGAGAGGAAGCAGTCAAGAGAATTCCTGGATTCCCAGCTTGTGAAACGGGATAGACAGTGTTGTGGCTTGAATGCTTGTGTTCCTCCAAAATTCATATTGAAACTTAATCCCTAATGCAATAGTATTAAGAGGTAGGGACTTTAGGAGTGATTAGACAGAATCTTTGTGAACGATATTAGTACCCTTATAAAAGGGCTTGAGGGAGTGAGTTTCTCCCTTTTTCCCTTTCACTGTGGGAGGATACAGCAAGAAAGTGCCATCTTGGAACCAGAGAACACGCCCTTACTAGACATTAAATCTGCTGATGCCTTGATCTTGGACTTCCCTGCCTCCGGCACTGTGAGAAATAAATTTCTGTTCCTTATAAATTAGCCTGTGGTGTTTGTTATTGCAACCCAAACAGACTTGAGATAGAAATTATTACCAGGAGTGGGTGCTGCTGTAACAAATACTTAAAAATGTGGAAGCAGTTTGGGAACTGGGGGTAATTGGAAAAGTTGGAAGAGTTTGGAGGAGCAGGCTAGAAAAAAAGTCAATATTGTCACGATTGGAGCATTAAAGACAATTCTGGTGAAGCCTCAGAAGAAAAGAACTGCAGAGAGCATAAATCTTCGTAGAGAGTGCCTAAGTGTCGC